CTTTATTTGTCTCTTTGAGGTGCCCCGTGGTTGTCTGGGGTTCTTGGTCGCTAGGTTTGCCTTGCTTTGCTTCGGTGCTTGTGTGACGAGATGCCATTGATCAGCTATTCTGCTTGGAGAGATCTCCGACCTTGGGATGGGTATGATCTGTGGCCTGTTATCTTGTTGACGGCCCCGTTGTTTAGTATATTTATGCTGTCGATCGATGGACTTGCACTGTGAGATTACTGCGGCCACCGGCTCCTCCCCAGCCTCCTCCCTCGCTTACAAACGTTTCCACGAAAAACGCGAACGCCAACGGGGAGGGTGTGGGTTGGTAAAGCACCGTAGCGGCGACGTACATTCCGATTTTTTTCGATATTGAAGTGTAAACTTCGGCCTGATTTTCAGATGTTTTCCAAGTCCGATCCGTACTCCGTGCGCCTGGCTGACTGCCCCCGCCGTCCTCTAACCGCAACGGAATTAAAGCATGAATGCGCCTCCCCCCCCCCCCCCCCCCCCCCCCCCCCCCCCCCCCCCCCCCCCCCCCCCCCCCCCCNGCGAGTACATTGGGCACCTCATCGGACACGAGGGCAAAGGCAGCGTACTCAGCCTGCTGAGGCACAACCGCTGGGCGACGGGTATCTCGGCGGGCATCTCGGGGTCCGGGTACAACGACTCCTCCTGTTGCGCGACGTTCTGCGTGACCTTCTACCTCACCAAGGTGATGGAGACAGAGAGAAGGATACATTCTACAGAGAGAGACAGACAGGCAGACAGACACACAGGGAGAGGGAGCGAGGGACGGGAGGAAGAGGGAGGGAGGGAGAAAGAGCCAGAGAGAGGGAGCGAGAGAGAGAGAGAGAGAGAGAGAGAGAGAGAGAGAGAGAGAGAGAGATTTATGGCCGTCGCCGCCGCCGCTGCCGCCTCTGCTACCGCTGCTGCTTTCTCTCGTTCCGGTAGGAGTGTCGGTCGACAAGACCTGTCTTTTAGGACATTTAAACCAGGACGAGGAGGGATGGAAGAGTCCCGAACGATGCTGCTCGAGAGTAGACAATAGATAGCCTGTGAAGAATGCCATCTTTTTTTTTTCCTTGGACGACGCTGACTCGTGATATTCTGGCGCCCTCTAGCACCCCCACCCCCCTGTGTTCGTTTCTGCCCCCTTCTTGTCTTCCGCCTCTTGCTGGCGGTGTTTTTTACGGTTTCTTGCCAGTTCTTCATCCTCAGCACCCTCACTACTTTCCACTTCTGCAACAATCACGGCCATTTCCACCAACCTTCACTGCTTTGTTTTGTACTTCCTGTCTCGATGTACTCGCTTTTTGCCTTGGGTCATTGGGTCTCTGTCCGGTTCGTTTGGAAGGCCGGAGTGCGCCATTGGCTGGACATCGTAGACGTCCTGTTCCGCTACATCGGCATGCTGAGGAGAGAGGGGCCTCAGGAATGGGTTTTCCAGGAGATCAGGGACGTCGCCAACATTCAGTACAGGTGTGAGATTGAAACGCCTGTACACGCGCAACGCGCCGATGGGAAGAAGATAACCAGCCGGATTAATTTCTCGTGCTTCTCGTCATCTGTTGACAGGAGTTTAGCAGGGAACAGGAAGCAGAGGCACCACGCAACGAGGGGACGTGCTTGGAACTTTGTCGCCTTAACACGGAGAATGTCAACAACGGTCCTGCGTATGTAGTGTACGTTCGAGAAGGGGGAAAGGGACACGGATGGAGTTGCCCCTTTCTCACTTCTCACGACTGTTCCACGCCACTTCACACCACGCCCCGCGGGGAGTGTCTTCGTTTTTGTGGTTTTGTTTTAGGCTCCACTCTCGCGCGCGACTTTCCCACCACACGCCACTCTGCAGCACATGTGTGATGTCACGTCATGGCGTCAAGTTCATGTGTCCCACACCACCCATCGCGTAACAGCTGTAGCTTCGTCCCTATCTCCCTCCCTTGCTCTCTCTCTCTCACTTTCACTCTGTCTCTCTGTCTCTCCTCTGTCTGTTTATCGTGTTGTAGGTTTCAGGAGGAGAGCGAGCCGGCAGAGTACGTGGAACGGCTTGCCGAGCAGATGCTGCCCTTCGCCCGCTTCGAGGATGCCCATATCCTCAAGGGACCCTACATCATGGACAAGTGGGACCCCGCCCTGCTCGAAGCAAGTGCCATTGACGTGTGGGAGATTGGATGCTGTGTTTAGTCCTGTGCATGTGGCCATCCGGATGGATTGCTGCTGTGTTGTGCTGTTTTTGTTTTCCCTCTTATTGTCCATCTCTGCCAGCCGTTCTTCGTGGCCTTCAACAGCCACGCTGTGAAAGAGCCGAGCATCTAAAAACCCAAGCTGAATCATGTCACGCTGCCGCGTCTGCTCGCTCCTTCCTGCAGAACTGCAACTGTCGCCCCATGCCTACGTCGTTGCCAACCCTGTTTTGCTGTGCAAAAACGCGCAGGGAATCATCGAACAGCTCACCCCCAGCTTGGCTCGATACGACGTCCTATCTACACTCTTCGGACGCGCTGTGGACGCCGCTCAAAACGGCAAGAACCAACATCCTCAGAGCGAGGACAACGAGGGAGAAGACGATGATGACGACGACAAGACGGCGGAGGGCGAGGGTGCCCCCGGCAAGGGAGGAGCAGGCCAGCGAAGAAAGAAAAGAGCTACGGGCGAGGAAGACGACGCCGGTTCCGACGAAGGTTCCGAGGATGAAAGTTCCGATTATGATTCTGAGGAAGGTTCGGGGGGTGGAGATGAAGAGGAGGAGGAGGAGGAGGAGGAGGAACAGCAAGGGATGGAACTGGGGCACTATCACGAGCTTTGCAAGAAGCCCGACCGCGACCCGCTGGAAGAGCCTCGCTTCGGGGTGTGCTTCTGGAGCGACGCGGTTCCCGCGGAGGTGATCACCGTGTTTCATGTTTCATTTTTTATGTTTTCGTTTCGGCCGCAGTAGCATGTTTCAGGTTTTATTTTCGGCCGCAGTAGCCGTAGCGGTAGCGGCAGCGGTAGCGGCAGCGGGGTTGAGGTAGGGTAGACTGGGGTCGAGTTATGTGAATGGTGAATGTAAATTGATGTCGACGCAAACGAAAGTTTGTTTGGGTGTGCTTAATGCCAGAAGTACTCTGGAGTATCATTTTAATGGGAGGGTTGATGTGCGGCAGTGGGCCGACACACTGGTCCCGCCCATCTTTGCTGCGCGATGCTTGTGACTCGAAGTCGTCACTGTCGCCAAGTGCTTGTTTCGCAAGTGGAGAAATGCTCTCACGCCCTTTTAGTCAACCCTGCAACCGTTGTTGTCTTCTTAACGTTGGACACTGTCGTACTCCCCGGCCTTTTGTTGTGCGGGGCCCCAACCGCTCAGATCTTGGAGGCATGGGCGGCATCCCTGCAGCAAGAACAGCAGCAGCAGGCGGGCGGCAGCACCGCCAGAAGCTCTCTGCTCAGCAGCAACGCGGGCACTACCGGCGCCGGGAAACACCCGGGTACGGTTGCCGCCACTGCCCCGACCAACGGTACCACCAACGGGATGACGATGATGAAGGCCGCGGCGGGGGGGGCGCAGAAGCAGCGTCAAGACGTACCCAAGGGCAGCGGCAGCGATAGTAGCGAGCCCCCTCTCCCCACCCTGGCCCTCCCAAAGCCCAACCGGTTCATCCCCTCGGAGTTGGGCATCAAGGAAATTCCCGCTGGGTCAGAGGACGGCAGCGGCAATATCGCCTCCTCGACGGAAGCCGAGGCGGGAGGAAAGGGGGCAGCGCATCATCGGCAGCAGGCGGAGCGACACAGCCCGCGCAAGGTGGCGAGGGAGAGCGCTTCGGCGCGAGATGCTGGCGGCGGTGGTGGGGTCGTGAGGTGCACCCTGTGGCACTTGCAGGACAGGACATTCGGGCAGCCCAGGGCGGAGATATATCTCAAGGTGATGTGGTGTGGGTAGGGGTGGTGTGCGTGCCGTGCCGTGTTGAGACACAAAGACGGCGTGTATGACGATCATGGGACGTATGAAGAGGGCCTGCAGTCTGGCATGGCTTGATCTGGTGTGTGTGTGGGATAGGACATTCTCGCAGGACGGACTCAACCAACATGGTGTGGGTGATGCGCACGCTCCCACAGCGTTTTGTTACCGCTCTACATACCCCATGACATCTTGCAAGCACGCGCAGCAAATACAAGGCATGTGCAGAAGAAAGCTGGTGAAGCACGTCCCACGTCAATAAATGTTGTACCGCCACTCATTGTTGCCATGAAGACCAACACGGGGAGTAAATCCTCCGCCAGCAGCAAGAGTCATTTAATGCAGACCTTCATCGACACCCACCAGTGCACATCCCCCCTGTCATTTGATTCATCGTCTCGCGAAAACGGTTGGGCCGTGTGGTCATTCTTCATGGTCTTCGATGATGGTGATGATGATGGTGGTGATAATGATGATGATCTCATGATGACGATGACGATGATGATGAATGATGATGGTCACATTGGAAGGTTGTGACGCCGGTGGCGAACGAAAGCGCGCGGTCGGCGGCTCTCTGCGAGCTGGTGGTGCGGCTGGTGAACGACTCCCTGACCGAGTACTCCTACGACGCGTACGTGGCCGAGCTCAGCTACCACGTCAAGGCAACAGACGCGGGTTTCCAGGTGACGCGGGGCGTTTTTTTTCTTTGCTGTTGTGTTGCGAGCCAAAGGATGATGTGGTGTTGCTGAAAGATAAATTGTACAGCAGAGTATCGACAAAGTTTTTTCTCGCTTTGGGAAACGAACTCACAAGGCATGGCTGTTCTTTCTGTGTGTCCCTGTGCGAGAACGGGCACCGGTCACGCTGCTGTTTGAGGTGAAATCTTGGAGTGTTGGCACGACTTTCACCTCGCGGCTCGTTGGAACCCCTGAACTCTGCACACGTCCAACCAATAAAGCGTGCTTCCATCCTCCTGTCATGTGTACAAACATCAAGTTCTGGCGTTGCGTGCGCGCTCTGCTCCACGTACCCGGCCGCTTAAGCCGCTTCCTCTCTTTCCCTCGCCCTGTTCCCTCTTGTGACCGTTACCGTTCGAGCAGATACACGTGTACGGCTTCGATCACAAGGCCCCCCTCATGCTTCGGGAGGTGCTCAAACGCCTGCTGGACCTGGGGTCCCACCTGGAGGAAGGTACGGCACACGTATCGCAGTACAGTACAGTAGCTTATAGTAACATAACGTACCGTCCACACAGCACCATTCAGTGCCTACCGTACCGTACCGCGTTACACGCAAAGGCCATAGAGGTATGATAGTATATTGTGCCACACCGGAGACACCCGGCCAACGTGGGCCGCTTGACATCCCTCCGGGAACTGACTGGCTGCGCGATAGGTGCAACATTCTTTGGTATAGATTAGAGAACGGGAGATAGACGCCATGCGGTTTCCGACGGCCACACCAGTATGTCATACTTATTTAGTTGCTGATTGTTCGGTTCGGATCGTCGGTTACACCATCTCAAAGGCACCCGCTGCTGAAGGTGAAAAATCGATACATTCCCCCTCTGCTACAGCAGTGGTGAATAAGAAACCCTGAGATGTGTCGATGGGCAGCGCGCGGAGATTAGGAGCATGAAGACACGGTTGACACTCACAGCATGTGCGGTTTCGTGCGGGGTACGCTCTTTTCCCCCTTGTTTTGTGACGATACAATGTCGCAGGGCCCCTGTCTGTGCAGCTGGAAGCCCTAATCAGAGGCTACCACAACACCAACATGAAGCCCGGGAGGCACGTCTCCAACGTCCGACTTGAGGTGAATGAACATCACGACCTACAGGGGGTAGAAACAGAGAGGGAGGTGTACTCATGTAAGCGCGTTTTGTACTCGTTAGATCGTTGCCCTCGCATCCCTACAGTGCCGGGACGGAGGAGCGATATGTATGCCGGGTTTTCGCCTGCCCAGGGTACGTTGACAAAAGGATGAAGCAGAAGCTGGTAGTCACCCTTGTGTTTGCTGTGCCAAGCCAGATATGCCATACGTTGATTTTGCGAGGAGTTGACGCAGAACCGGAAGAAATAAAGTGAGTCTCGTGATGTGTTGCCCCTCAGTATTTCGCTACAACTACTCCGGCACGGAGAGACGAGAGGCACGGCAGACGCCCAGAGTGGAAAAAGAGAGACAGGTCGAACGAGAGACACACCCGCATGGAACAGGAAAGCGCAAGCCGGGAGAAACACCACCCAACCACACGCACATTCAAGCATCCTACAGCAGTACTGCTGTAAGCACATGTCGTGGTTCCGGTTCTGCTTTGACCTATCATGTAACAGGGTGCAGCCGTTACGAAAACCAACCGGCGCACGCAACTATTTCGCCGGGGGACAAGCCGTTGCACTCTTCTCTCTAGCTCACGTTGCAAGATTTGTAGAAAAGACAGACGAGGACCTTCGAAGGAGTTGTGAAGGACGTACGTAGTTTTTTCTGCCCGTGATACCCCTACACCATTACCTATCCGCTACGCCTCGAAGTATTATCAGGAGATGGTGTTCGCTGAGAGAGCGTACCTTGGAACTGAAGGAAGATATCCCCCAAGCAAAAAATCAGCCACAATTTCCGAACTCGCGAAACCGATTCTCGCCATGGCGCCTTCTCATCCCTGTGGTGCGCGTGATGGCGTCTGCCTTCTTTCGCATCACGTGACGCGTGTGCTCTCTCTCCGTTCGTCTCGGCGTTGCTTGGTGGTACGGAACGACGATACAACCACAATCAGGCTTTGCGGAAAGGCAGATGGTCTCCAGTGCAGAAGCAGTCTGCCCTGACCGGGGCTGGGGAAGAGGAGGACGCCTCAGGCCCAGCAGCCGGAAAAGGGGCAGCCGCACCGGCGCTGTCTGTTGCGCACGTGCAGGCCTTCCTCAAGCGTCTGTTCCACAGGTGCCAGCTTCTCTAAAGGTGTTGCATGTCCTCGCCATAGCCAAGAGTTAATGGTAAGATGCTTTTGATTATTGAGAGGAAACAACCGCCCAGTAACAAGTTGAGTGTGTGTTACGTATCGGGGTCGATGCACCCCTGAACGGTAGAAATGTGCCTCGGCGGTTTCATTTACCGTTCAGGCGTTATTTTTTCTCTTGCTCACTTCGTCTAGCTGCTGTTCCGAGCCACGGCATTTTTTAAGAAGACGTGCGAGGGGCTCCGTGCCCCCCGTTTCCCTCCTGACCCTAGCCGCCCTTCCTCCCCCTGCTCCCTCGGTTTTCCTGCCTGGTGTCGGTCGGTCCGGGTGGATGATGCCCCTCAGGGTAGAGATGGAAGGTCTCGTTCACGGAAATTTCTCGGAGGCAGACGCCGAGAGAGTCTTGGACGAAATCGACCAGGTAAGGTACTGCTGTGGCCTCCGTATTTGAGCTTATTTCACACGCACTGAATCAGGTTGGCGTTGTTTGCTTCGCTGTTGGGGAAAGGAAAGGCAGCGGCAGAATTTTGGTTCGACAAGCTTGTTTACGGAGTCACACGCCCGCGAACCTCTGTTGTGTTTGGGTGAACAATCGTTGTTGGCCGTTTCCGTATTGGCGACACAGGTAGCCGAGGAGGCGGCAGTCAGCAGGGAGGGAGGCGGCAACGTTGACGTCGACATCGAGAAGGGCGACGGCGGTGACGCGGAGGGGGTGGCGTTCAAGTACCCGGAGGAACCCGTCGTGAAGCTCTACCCGTCCCAGCACGTGCTTTACTGCTGTCCCAGCAAGGATCCCACGGAAGAAAACTGCGGTGAGGAAGCTGTCATGGTGATGCTGGTGGTGGTGCTGTCTGCAGATGTTGCTGGTCCTGTTGTTGCTGTTGCTGCTGCTGCTGCGATGCTGCTTGATTTGGATACACTTTCTATTCTAATGACGTTATAGAACAAGAGACTCACGTGTTACGTTAGCAGTGTGTTTCTTCCACTCTCTGCTGCTTGTTGCTGATATTTTTTTGCTCCCACCGTATGTCTGACCTCCCCCCCCCCCCCCGCGCGCCAATGNCTCTGCTGCTTGTTGCTGATATTTTTTTGCTCCCACCGTATGTCTGACCCCCCCCCCCCCCCGCGCGCGCCAATGGTTACTACCTCCTCCTTCGTGACGTCATCGAGCAGCGCTGGAGGTGTACTGGCAGATCGGGGCGAACAACCTCGGGGGTAAAGTTATCGCCGACGCCATCAAGCAGGTATTTTTTTCTGTTTGCATATTGTTATGTAAGGTGTGTGTATGAGACAGAGTCAGACACAGCAAGGCTCCTTGCACTTATCCTTGCGTACATGCTGCCTGCAGGTGTCATCCGATAGTATGCATGGTCTGCCTACTTCGTACATTGCCCCAGCTTGTGTGATTTTTTTTTCGGTTTTCCCAGTATTTGAAGTATGTTGATTCTCGCGGGAGCCTATGGTACCTGAGGTACCCAAGGTACAGTTACAGTGTAACCTTCGAAGAATCGCTTCTCGCGTCGCGGTGAAATTTCTCCCGGCGTCGTGTTTCGCGTGTCCGGCCACGTCCCAGCGGAGTTTGCCTCACGCGCTGCTGATCTCAAAGGCTGCTACTTAAAGAAATTTTAATAGATGCATCGACCCGGCCTTGTGCACACGCTGTGACAAGCATCAAATGCAAGACATCTCCAAGATGCCAAGTCTATTCCAAGCAACTGCTGTGTTGTGCTCGCTTGTGTTGTGTTTACGTTTTCCCATCGTTCTGACCTGTACCTAGTACCTCCATGGCATCGATGCCGACCATGAACCGGCACCACACCGCAAATGAATCACTGTACATGATGCTGAATTGGTCAAGGTGATGGACGAGCCTCTGTACGACCAGCTTCGGACGAAGGAGCAGCTTGGGTACAGCGTCGGGTGCTCCACCCGCGTCACCTGCGGCGTGCTTGGCTTCTGCATCACTGCGCAGTCCGCCGCTTACGCCCCCGCTCACCTCTACGCCCGCGTCCGCGCGTTCATGAAGTCCTTCCGGGACACCCTGGTGAGCGGGACCCCTGAAATTCCGGCTTCGTGTGCTTGTTTCATATTTGCATCGACTGCGCTAATCGTCTGACCAATGAAAAGACGTCAGTCGCAGTGCGGTTGGAAACACCAAATGCTTCTAAAGGTCAGGATCTGGAACCCCGTGAGGGGGCGTCATGGGTGTGTTCGTGTGCGTGTTTATTAGTATTAGCATCGACCGCGCTAACCGGCTGACGAATGAAAAGGCGTCAGCGTCAGCGGGTATAATCAAGGTCCGTGGAAGGGGACCAAAATTCGAAAAATGCGCAATGCGTGTGTGTGTCTGTTTATTGTTATCCCTTTATGTCAGCGCTCACAGTTTGTAGCATTTGTGACGGGTAGGAGCTATCTCCAATCGGTGTGCTTGTGTGTTCATTTTTTTCTTGCGAGCACGGACGTTTTTTTGTGTTTGGGGATGCTATGCTCCAACTTGTTGGAGGCCGTGTGCGCTTCTTGGTTTTTGGTACAATATCGCAGGGCTTTTTTGGTGCCAAGCGCGTCTGTTGTTGTTGTCATTGTCACCCCAAGTTGGTTGGCACCTCTATCTAGTGCGTTCGCCTCCTCCTGCTACGTAGGCAAGCGATTTTCCGTGGCCACAGGCAAATCCAAAAAACAAAAACGGGTGAAGGCTAAGCATGACTCCTTGTCTCCGGACTGCACCCCCTGTTGTGTTTTGGTTACTCCGTGCAACACCCGTGCCGTGTTTGTAGTACCCCTGTGTAGTGCGGGTCTCTTTTTCGAATTTCGGAAACTCCGGCCGCACGTTGCTGTGCATCGTTGCCATCGAAGTCCCGCTTCGTACACAGTAGTCAGTTTCCTTTACCCCGGCCGACTACACCCAACCCTTTCCCCACCAAAAAGGCGGGCATGACAGAAGACACGTTTTCGATGAACATGGAGTCCGCCGCGGCGAACAAGCTCCAGCCCGACAACACACTCAGCGAGGAGGCCCAGCGGTACTGGTGCGAGATCTACAGCCGCAGGAGGGAGTTCCACGTAAACGTCGCGGAGGCCGCGGAGATGAAGGGGTTGGAGAAGTCCGCCGTTCTACGAGCATACGAGGAGTGGTGAGACTAAAACCAGAATGTGCCTCAGCCGGCATCCGCGTTTGCCGCTCTTTGCCAGAGCGGGATTGATTGTCCGCGGGGTGTTACTACAGTAGCGTAGGGGGCGAGGTCCTCGCGCTGACGTAGGTGTGAGACAGCTCCAGTGCCGGAATTCGAGGTGCTAATATAGCACTGCTTTGTAGGGGGACACAGCTCTGGTGAGAAGATGAGTTTTTTTTGTGGTCCTGGCACGGACCGGCGCCGTGTATCTTCTTGTCGTAGCACGCACACCACCCTGTCCTGTCCGCTATTTGTCCAACTGGCCTCGAAATCTCGCAGCACGTGTTTCTCGTTTCGCGGCTTCCGTCTGCGGTAGCTAAAGTTCCCGCACAGCAGTTTTTGAGCTCGTTTTTTTTTTTTTTTTGCCCTGCTTTAGGCCGCTTACGGCAACAAACTTTTCCCACCGCAATATATATAACCAACGGATGAAAAGACAAGCTGCACACCACCAACACTAGCCACCATGGAACTTTCTATCACCAAAGGCACCTGTAAGAAACAATTAAAACAATCGCGTGCGGTGGCGGCGGCGTCGTCGTCGACGCTCAGGTTTTCGGGCGAAGGCGAGGGCAAGCCTTGCTTGACGCTTACGGTAACCGGCCGGGGCAAGTTCAACGCCGACGACGAAGCCAAGGCGATACAAGCTTACATCCAGGAGGAGATCGAGAGCAGCAGCAGCAGCAGCAGCAAAGACGTGGACGGCGGGCTGTCGTCACCCTCACGAAAAACGTGCGTGCGCATCGCGACGCCCCCGGAGCTGTACTGCCCCGCGGAGGGTCGGGACGTGTTCCCCAACTTCTTGGCCTGCTGAGTTGTTGACCGTGCCACATCGCATCGGCCACTTGTGGCCTGCATCGGCACTTCGGTCCCGAACACCAGTACCAACGTCTCGAGATATGATTAGGTTCGTAGTGAGTTCTTTAGCCTCGTGGGTTTGTTGGTTTCCGATCGGCCGTGGAAGGCAAGTTTCGCATCGTGCACGCCTTATGGCGGGTGGTTCTGCCTAGGCGGGGGCGTGTTGAGGCGGCTGGGTGTGACTATGGTCGTCAGCCACTGGGCGGGCGGTCTTGGCCTTGACTGAAGGCTGGCCCTGGGGTGGTTCATGGGTAGTCACTGGGTACATGTGGTCGCATGAACTTACCCTACATGTAGGACTATTCTACGCCCAGCTCGAGCAAGACTAGAATACGGGCAGCATGAACCTATCGAAAGGAAGAACATAGGGTAGACAACATCCTGTAGACTAGATGTGGTACAAAAGGCCTGGGGGCTGCTTGCGAACAGGAGGAGCTGGTGCACGTGGTAATGTTCTCACCACAGCTGGATAGACTATAGTGATGAACGGAGTCCAAAGATAGGGGTGGGCCCAAACGTTCACCGTCACCCTTGTGTATCGACGGTTGAACGTCGGTTCATGACACACCGCGCGTCTATTGGAGTGGAGTGTTCCGCGCATTGCACAGGTGTAGCTTCGAAAAAAATGTAGTGCTACAGATATACTTCATTGATGTAAATGCGACGGCCCTGGTCCGCTCTCCAACAACATTAGTGACCTAACGGTCGCGTTGTTTAGGACACAATATCCTGAACGACGTCTCATGGCGACCCATGTTGGGCGCGTGAGGGCCTATGGCAACGGTCAGCCGGCTCTGGGAGGTCCACGGAGTGAAGACTGATAGGCTGACAGCCCACGAGTGGCCTGTTGGGCGGACCATGGACGGTCATGACGACCCCAGAACGGCATTTGCATACGTTGTTTGTTGTTGTTTGTTTTTCTCCCATCATTGGACTCTGTCGTCTGCCCCTCTGGCCCCTATCCTCCACTTCTACCAGCTAGACGACCCAACGGGGATCACATGGGAGGGGGGGGTTGGACCCCCTCCTGCGGTTTCTGCCTGAGATGTTTTTATCGCGAGAAGGGTACAGCAATCCCTTCCCTCGCGACATATGAAGTCGATCAAGTTTACTAACGACGAGCTTTGCAGCGCGTCGCTTCCAACGGAGACCAGGATTTCATTTGCGAGAAATAACTCACTCGGTCGGGACTCGAACCCATGACCTGGCCCTTAGCAGGCTGCGAGGCTACCCACTAGACCACCGGGGCGACCGGTTACTGTGTATGAGCGTCTGATTCGGCCCTTGACGGCCCACGACGACTCATGCCGATCTGTGACAGACAGCAGTCCGGCGAATAACGCCTAGACTAGATGCCATGACCNCATTTGCGAGAAATAACTCACTCGGTCGGGACTCGAACCCATGACCTGGCCCTTAGCAGGCTGCGAGGCTACCCACTAGACCACCGGGGCGACCGGTTACTGTGTATGAGCGTCTGATTCGGCCCTTGACGGCCCACGACGACTCATGCCGATCTGTGACAGACAGCAGTCCGGCGAATAACGCCTAGACTAGATGCCATGACCACGGGCCGTCGTGGGTCGTTGCTGGACCTTTTGTACCGACCACCGTCCGCAGAGGCTTCCAAGCGTCCAAGCGGGAGAGGCCGCGGGCAGGTGGTGTGTAGTTGAGCGGGATTGTCATGGCAGATAGTCAACTCTTTGATGCAATATGCGTGTACGAGTCCAGCCTCTGCAGCAGTAACTAATGGGTTCGCGCTCAGGGAGAGGCCGAGGGACAGGAAACAGGAGACACAAAAGACTGAAGACAAGAGACCGTATCGTATGTACGAGGATCGAACAGACAGCACCGCGGATTCGTGGGGTTCGGACCACCGGCAGAAGAACCAGTTTCTTCTTGTAGTCAACAAGGAGGCTATTGGTCAATGAGTTGTAGATTTGTTGACTAGACGAGACTACTTGTAAGACTTGTAACGTTAAAACCGTTCTGGTTCTTCGTAGTCAGGGTTCAAGTTGTTTCACCGCCCGCGAGGCCCTGGGTTCATCTTTCACACCACAGCCTGCAGCCTGCAGTGCGTCTCGCGTTCACAGCCGTGCCACCCAGAGATCCGCATATTTCCTTGTGCGAGAGCTGCGAGGGACCTGCACATCGCTCCGAGAACGGCCGGTCCATTATGCATAGCGGTGACGCGCCGAGCGGGACCTCGCCTGCTGCTGCTGTTGGTGGAGGTTGTCACAGGAACCAAACACGCGAACCAGCTGATTTTGCCTCTCTCAGTTGTTGCAAAGAGAACGGCCCTAGGTGTGGGAGGCATCCATGGCAAATCCTGACGGAAATGTTCTCGTTGTTTTGTTTGTTGTTGTCGTGTCATACATATGCTGAGGTTGCTGTATGCATGTTGTCAACACCAAGACGGCGGTGACTCACAAAGAACATCTGTTCCGCCGGAAGCTACCAGTAGCTGTAAGTGTCTGGTGGTGCGACGCTGGAATCCTACAGAAAACCTGGCGACGAGGCCCTCAACACTCTCGTGGAAGCCTGCACGCTTCCCGTCGATATTTATTTACGTGAGCAGGCGTCGAGGGCACTACAGAGTAGTACAGCTACCGCGATGCATGCGGCATGCGGCGCATCCAAAATTTCGCCACGGCAAAGTGCTTCCTACGCGTTGGTTCTGCGAAGAACAAGGGTGGCACAATTTCCGGAGACACGGTGACTGCCGCCGGTCGGTGGACGGAAACAGCCAAAGAAAGGTTGTTGTTCTCCTCGTGTTGGAGAGTCGCGAATTTACTGTTGCTGCTGCTGTGTGTACCGCAGCGGGGAATATATAGTCTATACTAGGGTAAGG